GCATCTCCAAGACCCTACTGTGGGCTCCAGCTTGGGGCCTGGGGAAATACAGGAATCTGGGCTTGAATCTTGCAGGTGCACCTCCAATTGGCAAGAAACATACCCTTGATATAAAGGAGCTACCTCAACTTTCCCACACATTTATAGCTGGAGCAGGGGTTTAATCTTTTTTATTTTAGAATCAGATGAAATGCTAGCAATAGTAGCAAACACTTCTAGGCATTGTCCTAAGTGCTTTATATGGCAGCATCTCATTTAATCCTTGCAGCAACTTTGTGAGGTATATCCTCTGAGAGGATGACGATTGTTAGCCCCATTTTACAGATTGGGTTAAGAAAAGTTATTTTGTGCCCAAGGGCATTCTTCTGGGATTTAGCTCCACAGTCCCTGCAAATGTTCTTAACCATTCTGTTCTGTTGTCTCTTGAAGATGTGGATGCATCTGACAGAATGCATCATGCACAAAAATCATTAGCACTTGTTGAATGCCATCTCACATGCATGATCTCATTTAATCCTTGCAACAATCCCATGAGTCAGGTTCTGTTGCTATATCTTTCAAGCAGATGAGTAAACAGAGGCACAGGGTGGTTAAGGAATTGTCTAAAGTCATGCGGGGGTAAATGGTAGAGTCCAGGTTCGAATCCATATTTGTCTAAGTGCAAAGCTTATACCACTCCACAAGTGCAGAAACACACACACAGGAATCAGGATGGGGCGCGAGCAATTTCAGTCATTCACAGACATCCGCTTGTGTCCCCTGAGCTACCTAAGAACCCTGCTGCAGAATAGCTGGGGCTCTGTAATCAGCTATTCCTGGAAGAGGCTCTGTAATCCAGCTCATCCTGGAAGAGGTATCCTACTTCTCATGGGGTCTTTGTACCGAGAGAGCCTCTTTCCACTGTCATCTTCTAGTTTGGTCTGAGAGATCCTGTTTTAATCGTTTTAGGGAGGCCTTAGACCCCCTGAGTAGTCCTGTTTCCTCTTTGGCATAATTGTCCCCCTTTGTTCCGAGACCCCTGGCTTTGTGGAAGAACCAGGAAGTCTTGGACTCCCCAGTTAACAGGAACTGCATAACTGACCTAGTGTGAATGTTATTGGTGCAAGGTTGCCCTGATAATTGTCATGCGAGGTTTCCTGATCTCAAACTGCAGGTTTGTGCTGCTCATGACTTTGAGCTTCTCAGAAAATCTGGGGGTGGGGTGGGTGGTGTGATGCAACGATCTTTGTTAACTTTCTTCTAAGCTCTCTGCTGTGGGGTCTCCAACCTCATGGCCTTAATGCTGGGTGAAGAGGAGCACAAAGGAACAATCTTTCTGGAGCTTTAATTCCATTGTTCTATCAATCTAAGGAGAAAGTCTCCATTCCAGACACATGTACTCTTTTCTCCTCTCGGGATTATCTATGAGACTTTACAAGAGAAGTTCCCCATCATCAATTCCAGGACCTAATATTATGCACTATTAGAGGGATCCGAAAGTTAGGGGTCATGTCACACTCTGGAGAATGCCCACCCAGCAGCTATGCCTCTTTTCTTCCTGCTATCAGTACACTCATTTTGTTCAAGTATGTGAAGCTGGCACTGCCTTCAATCCCAGGGTTGAGCTCTGAGATCTTATTCTGTTATTCCAGGAACTACTTTCGGGGTAGGAATTTGACCCCTATCTAGCCAAAGAGACATAAGAGGAAGTCTGTTGAGGCTTCTGAAGACAGCTTTTTTTTTTTTTTTTCCCCATGGTAAAAAGAGGGAGAGGCTCAGGAATACCAATTTTCTTCTCTTTGTTTTCATACAGAGGCATGGATGTATGAGAATGTGATGTCTGGAGTTGCAGCAGCCATTTTGGGACCAACAGCGGGGAAACCAGAGGGAAAGCCAATAACGGCCAAACCAGAGCTCTATTATTGAAATGCTACATTAACCAAATGAGAAACTATCTATCTCTGGGCTTTTTATTATATTGGGATTTATTGATGATCCCTATCGATAATCACTTTCAGTCAGGTACATTACTTAAAGCCAAAAGCATCGTAATAGACATCAGGTTAGTGGTGGTGAGAAGGATGAGAACACTTTGAAACTTGTTTCAGCCAGCTTCTCTCCTAACATTATCAATGATCTTTTCTCCACCCTCCAACTGGAGCCATCAACTATAATCCTTGCCTCAGCTATAGACCTAGTGACCGAAAATCTCAACAATGAAAAGAAAAATTGAGAATCTACATAAGGGAGGCTAAAAATGGAATAGAACAACTTTAAGAACATAGAAGGGCAAATTGAGATTCACAGGTAAGTGTCATTTTTTTTGAAGAAAGCTTGGAAAGAAGGAAGTGATACCTTCACTACCTCATATCATAAGAACCCCCGGCCACATTTAAACAACACAGGTTGACATAGACTATCTCTACAGTAAGTCTCACCAGGCTCCCACTTTAATTTATATTTGTAAACAAAATACTTCAGATTTTTGGGAAACAGTGGTCATCGGTCAACTACCAATTTGTCCTTGAAGCCTACTTTTTCTATGCTCTATTCTGTTTCATAAAGAGCTCCAATTGCCAATATCTCTTGCCCTATGGCTTCTTAGTAGGTTCGGCCAATGGTAAATGCTGGTAGAATATTGGAGAGGAGAGAAAGGGAGGAGCCAGGGTATTTTTTCCTCCTTCTCTATGCTTCTTGTGGTATCTCCAGCATTGGTTATACTTCTTCTAAGTTTCCACCTCTCTTTAAATGGACCCAATTCTTGGGTCCTAGTAATACCACTTTCTCCCCTGGCCCTCTAGGTATAGGATGGCTTCAGACCTCTGCTATTGCTAATCTTGTGTTGCCTCCCTATTCCTCTTTTGACCTCTCAGCTCTTCCTTCACCAGCGCCAATTCTCTCTATAAACTTCCTTATGTTTTTAAGATCTAATGTAGTTTCTGTTTTCCAGGCTGGATTTTAACTGATAAAGAGGGATAACTTATTATTATTGTTTTTTTATTTTTTGCACCAGAAAAGAAGTGCTTTGTCCATTTTATGGCTTCCCTGAGGCCCATGTTGCAGTGCAGCAATTGGTTAAGAGTGCAGACTATCAATGCATGCTGACTCACATTAAAAGTCTGCTTATTAGCTAGCTGACTTTGGGCAAGTTAATTAACTTTTGGATGCCTCAGTTTCTTTACCTGTAATAACAATGCTTACCTCATATGATTATTGTAAATGAATAATGCTTGTAAAGCATTTAGTGTAGTACCTGGTACATAGCATAAATGAAATTAATATTTAGCTATTAGCTTTCTAGAATTTAGCTTTAAAGACTCTCTCAAAAACAAACAAAGAAACAAACAAACAAATAAATAAAGACAGACAGACAGACAGACTCTCTATTATCATTCCAACTATAGCCAATACCTCACAGAGAGTCTGCCAAGGCTCATATTTCTTGGGTATAGACTTTCCCCATCTATATAGTTTGTATGAGAGTGGTCATGCTTATAGAACATGGTACCTCCCCCTGGACTCAGATCCGAGGGTGGGCATATGACCCCAACAGGACCTATTTGTACATTTCCAAAGACTTTGCAATTAGGTTCAAGAGAGAGTCAGTTGATCTCTCCTTGGTGGTTGGATCAGTAACAATGGTAAGATTTGGAGCTGCTGGCCATATTTCCTGTACTATGGACTAGGAAGCAGAGAAAGTCCATTTGCAACAAAAGAGAATACAGGAGATGACAGAAGAACCAAAGAGTATCAGAGACTGGGGCAGCCCGATAGTGTTGAGTCCCCAGTTTCAGTTCAGAGCATAAGCTCAGCTATATTCTTGTCCTTGAGTTCCAAGACATACTCATGCATCCTTAAAATAAACTCATCTTTTCTGCTTAAGTTACCCAAGTGAGTTTCTTTTCTTTGCAATTCAAAGAATCCTGTCTCGTTGACCACCTGGTCACCTTCATATCCAAATTGCGCTTGCCTTCTTAACTCTGTTATTTTTCTGAACTTCTTTTTTTTTCTTCTCTTTCCACTATCTATTTCCTGGAAGAAAATAGAACCACATTCTGTCCCCACCACAAAAAATATCTTTTCTGTGTTAGACTCAATGAAAAAATGAGGAAGGAAGATAAGAAGACAAGAATTTTCTTACTCCGACAAGTGTTCTCGTGGGAATTCTGGAACTGTGTATCCCCAGAGAGGAGTTTATAGCCAAGGTCACAGCGACAGTAGAAACCTCCTTCAACGTTCTGACATTCAGCATTTGATCCACAATATATACTATAGGGTGGTTTACATTCATCAATATCTGAAACATAAAGGAGAAATTTGGTTATTCATTAGACCAAGACTTATTGAGCATCTAATATGTGCCACAGGCTATACCCTTTCCACTGGGGTCTGTCCTGGCTTTCAAAGACAATCGGTTAAGGGAATGGCTGTCTTTGTTCTTTCCTTTCTCTGTGACTTTGGTTGGGTTCTCCAAGAAGGAGACATTGAGACAAGGATTCAAGTGCAAGGGATCTCAGAAAACACTGGAAGGGAAGTGCTGAAATGAGACAGGGATGGCAGGAAATAAGGGGGATATTATCAAGCAAGTTTCCACTTTGAGCAACTGGGGCTCAATTCCTCTGGGAACCTCTGGGAGGCAGTGTAGAGCAAACACTTCAGAGTGACTGCATGCAAGCGGTGAGGGAGCTGGGGTATTTATCCACCAAACTTCATAATTTATTTGTGGAGGAATGTTCCCAGGGAGTGGTAACTCCACAATACTTCCACCTGTCCTGAGCACGGGCTGAGTGGTGTCCAGTAGCCAGAAAAAGTCTCAGACTTGGCATGCAAAGGAATGGCAAATGCTGGAGGCATCTAAGTGGGGCATTGACCATGTCTGTTATGGACTAAATGTTTGTATCTGCCCCCTCAACTCATATGTTGTAGCTCTAACCCCAGAGTTGCTGTATTTGCAGATGGGGCCTCTAAGGGGGTAACTGAGATTAAATGTAGTCAGAAGAATGGGGGTCCTGATCTGATTGGATTAGTCTCCTTATAAGAAGATACATGAGAGCTCTTCCCTTCCCCTGCTACTGTGTGCATGTGGCAAGGAAATTCCATGCGAAGATACAGCAGAAGGCAGACATCTACAAGCCAGGAAGAGAGGCCTCGCTAGAAATTAAATCTGCCAGAACCTTGATCATGGACTTCCCAGCCTCCAGAACTGTGAGAAAATAGATGTCTGTTGTTTAAGCCACTCAGCCTGTTATATTTTTTTATTGCAGCTCTAGCTGACTAACACATCTGTTAAACTAATTGAGTTAGGATGTCTTTCTTAAAGTCAGGACCCTTCAGTCCTGAGGGTCACCTGTAGCCCCTTTAAAATGGTGTCAAGTGGGTGGCGAAAATGTGTGAGTTCTCTGTCTGGTACAGAAAACATGAAATCTAGGGTTTTCAGAGTGCGATATAGTCATTCTTTACTCGGGAGCCCAGACATTGCAATCTTGTTCCTATTTATGGTATAAACCCTGACCTGTTTTTTCCCTTTTGTAATACAAGTAACTGACTTAAACTTTGACTGCCGGGGCATCCACCTCAAAGCCAGCTATCTCAAAAAACATATTGCCAGCCACAGGACTAGATGAAATGCCAGGCCACCTCCCCCCAACTGAGATTCCTTTGTTTTAGAGATCTTGGTTGATTTTGATAATTGATAATTTGGGCTAATTGTTTTTTTCTCTTCCTGTGCTTTAAATTCCCACTCTTATGTTTTAAATTCACCAGTAACGAGTGAGCCCTTGAAACCCATGCGCACTCTCTCCCTCTACCCACTACACTGCTGTGTGGTCCCAGGTGAGCTGTGTAATTTCCAGGTCTTGTAAATAATAAACCTGTATCTTTTCAAAATTTCCTAATGGTTATTGCTGAAGGGCTTCTTGCAATCGTAATATAAACCAGAAGAGTTGGTCCATTTCTAATGTTGACTCAGAAAGGAGCCCAGGTGAGTGCCCCGAGGCATTTCTAGCCTATAGCATTGCTATCAACAGACTGAGACCAGCACAAAACACCACTTTTTAGACCAGTGCGGATGAAAAGGGGGCCATATACTAAACCTGACAAACGCAGGGGAGCCTGCATGGCAGGCCTTACAAACTCAGAGACCGAAATTAACCACATTGGATGGTCTGAATATAAAAATTCCTAACTAAAAGTGGGTCATGGCAGGTAGTCATATCCTGGGCCTGTAGTCTCTTTGACAAAGGTCAATCTTTACCTTAATCGAGCCTTTTTTTTTTTTTTTTTTAATCTAAGGTAACATACCCTTGGAATGTCAGAGTAATCTCTTTTTTTCCAGACCTCTCCGGGGCACCAGGGCAGAGACTGCAGAGTCTCTCATTGTTATCATGTTCCCTGAACACCATCTCTCTGTGCTGTAGATGTTACTTATTAATTATCCTGTACCTACCAATGTAAAAGGAGTATGTGTCTCTCCGTTTTACTTTTTATCCAATCCCAGAGATTTCCCTGCTTTGCTTTCTCCCTTTACACTCTCTTTACTCCTCCTCCTTTGCTTCTAATGTATAAAATAAGCTGCAAAACTGCCATTCTTGGGACCATTTTCTTAATCCATTGAGAATTTGCTTCTCGGCAATTGTCATCAGTTTGGCTCAAATAAACTCATTAAAACTCTCTACAGGTTTGGATGTGTCTTACATTGACACCAGACATGGCAATCGTGTTCCTGTTTCTCAGGTACAATCTTTCACAGATTCCCTTTCAGCTTGATTGGTCATGTGACACATCCCTAGTCAATAAAATGTAAGAATGGTCTCTGGAGTTTCTGGGAAGAAACCATACAAAGTGTAAAACAAGTTACAAATCACTACAAAGGAAAGAGACTCAGATTGATATTGGAATTCCTGTCTGCTACCCTGTAAGCTTGAAGCCAGTTTCTGTAATTACTGGGATATGCATTGAGAGATTACTGGGATAAGAGGACCAAACTAAAAACTTCTCCACCAAGGCAAGATATAATTTACTTGTTAGAGTGAAAGAAATGTGAGATTATGCAATAATTGAAAGATAGTACCCATGTACTCAATTGGAAGAAAACACGCAAGAAAGTACTCCAAGCAAACAAGTCAACAAGTATGAAATTAACAAGTACAGAAACCTCAATTTAGGAGAAGATTAAAGGAAGAGGAAGCAAGGGTGAGCAATGAACCTTGAGATAAAAGTAATATTCATGGGGGCAGTGGGTGGAGAGAGAAGGAAATGAGAAGAATATTTTAAAGACCTCATCTCTTTACTGGGAGAGGGAAAGTAAGGGTGAAATGAAACATCTTGATAGGGAAAACAATGCATCCTGGTGGGGGAAATCATTGTGAGTTTTTCAAATAATAGCAGAGAAACATGTGTTTGATTATGAAATTAAGAAAGAGAAGATAATCATTAATAGGATGGAAAACTATAGAACTTTTAATAAATAAAGGAAAAAATAAAGTTAACGGTAACTTGATTAAGCAAAAGCAAGTAAGAAAAAGGTAAATGAGAAAATAATAATAATATAAAATTAAGACAAAATGCAGTAAGATGGAGGGAAAAATTGTATCAGCCATTACACTAAATGTAAATAGAAATCCACTGTTAAAACAGAGATAAACAAATTGAGTGTGGCAGTTTTAAAACATGGCCTCCAAATTAATT